ACACCCAGCAGATGCACGCACGGCGCGGCGGGGGGCTCCATCCCCCCGTGCCCAGTGCTGGCGGAGGGGGCGTATGTTCCTTGCGTCCCTGGGGCCCTCATGCGTTTCACGCGCAAACTGGGCGCTTGCCAGTGGCTGGAGTTGCCGCCCCTCTTGGCCGGCACGTTCCTTCGTGATTGGGGGTGGTGTTTGCGAGGCCAACGCCATCTTGGTAGCCATTGCGCGACATGTTTTTTTGCAGGGCAGCCTTCCTGTTGTTGTGCATTTGAGTTTGCTTAAAGCACCTTGCGCGGTCCTTGACGTTCGTCCGTTTCCCGTTGGTTGCATTTGCCAACATGGGCGCGTGTGGGGTCGAGTGGGCAGTCTTCGCCGCTCTCTGCCGCAGCCCTCCGCGTCGTCCTTCAACCTTGCACACTGGCGCGGCGATACCTTCTGCGGGCAGGATTCCACGCGCTGCACTGCTGCTAGGGCTAGGGCGCGAGGGGAAACACAAATCTGATTCCTTCCAGGACTATTGGCATTCTCGCTCCTACTTTTACTTCCGCTCTCATTCGCTTCCTTCTCTTTCGCCTCCCATTCCGCCTTATCGTCCCTGGCATCCTTATCCTCATCCAGCTCTCGTTGCTGTCTTTCCCTCGTCGCGATCAACGGGGCCCGCAGACAAATGCAGTGGCGGGGGGAGCTTGGACCTTTCTGTTTTTTCAGGACGTCGGTCGCGGTGCCAGCGTCGGATGTCCAGGCCGGGGGGGCCAGACACCAGGCCGCCTGGCTGCGTGGATGCAGCGACGTTCCGGCCCTTTCTGGGCGGATGCAGGCCGCCCGCAGGGTTTCGAAGACAATCGCGATTCGCACTTCTGGGTCTACGGGCGGCACGGGGGAGCGAAGATCACTGCTCCTTTCGCAGGGCGAGGCGTGAAGTCTGGTGACATGCGTGGCCTTCCTCGTCATCGTCCTCCTCGCCCCTCCCAGCTAGGCCGTGTTCTCTCCCTCTTTGCTTTTTTTTTTTTTTTTTTTTTTTTTTTTTTTTTTTTTTTTTTTTTTTTTTTTTTTTTTTTTTTTTTTTTTTTTTTTTTTTTTTTTTTTTTTTTTTTTTTTTTTTTTTGTTTTTTTTTTTTTTTTTTTTTTTTTTTTTTTTTTTTTTTTTTTTTTTTTTTTTTTTTTCTTTTTTTTTTTTTTTTTTTTTTTTTTTTTTTTTTTTTTTTTTTTTTCCGGGTCGCGGGGGGCTCGCTTTTTTTTTTTGTTTCTTCATGCTCACGTTTGGGCGATGAATCGCCCGGGTAGGGTGCGTCTGGTAGCCTGGCCCCCACTGTTGGCCCCGCGATCGGGGTGGGGCCGCCGTGCAGGCGGACGGACAGGCGGCCATGCAGTCTGCCGCAGCGAAGCCATACATGGGCCATACATGAGGAGGAGCACAACGAGGAAGAGGAGGAGGAGGAGGAGGAGGAGGAGGAGGAGGTCGATGTCGATGATGAGGAGGACGAGAGGGGGGTGACGTTGGCTGCCCGTCTCGAGACTTCCCCGGCGGCTTTCCCCGAATCCCCGATTGAATGCACTCCAGAAGAGGCCCGGGGGCGATGTTTTGACACCCCGCAATGTTTCGTGGCCCCATAGGAAGCTTCGCGAAAGGCCCCAGTGCTGCCGCCCGCAGCGTCACGCTACACCCAATTCGGCACCCACCCCGCACACGCTTTCGTGGCCCCCTAATAAAGATTGTTGTTTTATCCTCTGGGGGGTAACGCGTTACCAGGGCCTCTCACCCCCCCCCCCCCCCCACGCCCCCCCCCCCACCCCCCCCCCCCCCCACCCGTAACGTACGGTCCTTGGGCTCGTACGCGGGGGGGGTCTCGGTCTTCCCCTCCAACATGCTGGTGCCCGAAGGCATGCGCACTGTGGTGTGGTGGTCGCAGGCGCACTGTGGGCGCTCGCAGGCCATTGCGGCGCTCGCATGCGCGATGCTGGTGCTTGCGGGCTTTGCGCTTGTACTCGAATCGTCGTCGTCGTCGTCGACGGCGCCCGAAAAAACGGCCTCCGGAGTCCGACAAAGGCACAAAAACAACGTCGTCGTCGTCGTCGTCGTCGACCTCGTCGCTCGTCGTTCGTCGATCATCGTCGTCGCGCGCGCGGGCGCGGGCGTGGTGCCGGGACCACGCGGCGGGCTTTGCGCTTGTACTCGAATCGCAAGCCACTGTGGTGCTCTCAGGCAGAGAGTGCTGCTCGCGCGCATACTATGGCGATCGCAGAGCGCCCCTGCCTCGCCATACCCCGCCCAGCCCAAGCGTTACCGTTACCCGCGGGGCACGACCCCCCCCCCCCCCCCGGGTAACGAGCGCTATCGGCCAGAATAAAAAAACAATCTCATAGGGGGCTCCGCCGAAGGCCCCAGTGCTGCCGCCCGCATGCGTCACGCACGCCCAATTCGGCACACCCCGCACACGTTTCGTGGCCCCATAGGGGGCTCCGCTGAAGGCCCCAGTGCTGCCGCCCGCATGCGTCACGCACACCCAATTCGGCACACCCCTCACACGCTTCGTGGCCCCATAGGGAGCTCCGCCGAAGGCCCCAGCGCTGCCGCCCGCATGCGTCACGCACACCCAATTCGGCACACCCCGCACACGTTTCGTGGCCCCATAGGGGGCTCCGCCGAAGGCCCCAGTGTTGCCGCTCGCATGCGTCACGCACACCCAATTCGGCACACCCCTCACACGCTTCGTGGCCCCATAGGGAGCTCCGCCGAAGGCCTCAGTGCTGCCGCCCGCATGCGTCACGCACACCCAATTCGGCACACCCCTCACACGTTTCGTGGCCCCATAGGGAGCTCCGCCGAAGGCCCCAGTGTTGCCGCCCGCATGCGTCACGCACACCCAATTCGGCACGCCCCTGACACGTTTCGTGGCCCCATAGGAAGCTCCGCCGAAGGCCCCAGGGCTGCCGCCCACATGCGTCACGCACACCCAATTCGGCACACCCCGCACACGCTTCTTGGCCCCATAGGGAGCTCCGCCGAAGGCCCCAGCGCTGCCGCCCGCATGCGTCACGCACACCCAATTCGGCACACCCCTCACACGCTCGGGCCCCTCGGGTCGCTCGCGAAGGCTCCCAGCGTGTTGCATGCATCGCGACAAGCACCACCCCAATTGGCCACACCCTACAACGTTTCGTGGCCCCATAGCGTCATCGCGAAGGCCCCAGCGCTGCCGGCCGCATGCGTCACGCACACCCAATTCGGCACACCCCTCACACGCTTCGTGGCCCCATAGGGAGCTCCGCCGAAGGCCTCAGCGCTGCCGCCCGCATGCGTCCCGCACGCCCATTTCGGCACACCCCTCACACGCTTTGTGGCCCCATAGGGAGCTCCACCGAGGGCCCCAGCGGCCGCGCTCACATGCGTCCCCTCCACCCATCCCGGCACGCTCCTCACAACAACAGGTTTCGTGGCCCCATAGGGAGCTCCACCGAAGGCCCCAGTGGCACCGCCCGCATGCGTCACCACCCGCACCTAATTCGGCACACCCCTCACACGTTTCGTGGCCTCGTAGGGAACTGCACCGGAGGCCCCAGTGGCGGCGCTCACAGTAAACCCCTCGCGCGCTTCGTGGCTCCATAGGGAGCTCCACCGAAGGCCCCAGTAGCGGCGCTTACATGCGTTCCCGCCACCCATCCCGGCACCCCCCCCGCAGCAGCATCATGTTTTGGGGACCCATAGGGAGCTCTTGGAGGCCCCAGTGGCGGCCCTCACATGCGCTTCCGCCACCCATGTCGGCACGCCCCGCGCGTGTTTCATCTCCCCATAGGGAGCTTCACCGAATGCCCCAGTGGCACCCATCTCGGCACACCCCTCACACGTTCCGTGGTCCTATGGGGAGTTCCTTTGAAGATGAAACCCGCAGCTGCGGTACTGACAACTGCATATGGTTGGGTTCTTCGCCAGGCTAATTTTTGAGTGAGATTTTTGGTGCTACCGCGATTTCCGGCAGATTTCCTGGAGATTTCCGGAGGATTTCTGGGAGGTTCGGCTTCGCCGCAGGATCTCGGGCGCTGTCGGGTGGTAAGCCCCCGGGGATTTTCAGCACATTCGCTCGGGGAGTTCAGGTTTTTTTTACCCCCCAAGCTTTCCAGGAAATGTCCGGAAGATTTCCTGGAGATTT